TAATAAAACCCACAAAAAAGCAACTTGTGGACTTAAGCAAGAAATCAAAAGAGCACAAAATATCAATTCCTGTGCTTTAAAATCATTGTACTAAGAATGTTTTTTGCAATAAAAACATGAGAGAGAGAATAAAAGTGGGAAATATCCGTGTCTTACTTAAAATGATGCCACATTGAACTATGAGAAAAGATCAAAAAAGCAACTTCTACTGGGCCTAAAAATAAATCACCAAAATTGCTTGTTGTGAAACATTTCAATTAAAACAATCTTGTTGTCAAACTTCTGTGTTTGTAATTTGGTAAATTAAAGAAAGTTTTTGTTTTTACATAACTTGCTTTACTTTCTTAAGTTTTCACTCTTGGGGGGTTCATTGTACTCTGCTTATTTCGTGAAATCAACTTTACATTTTTGTCATTTACAAAACTGTAAAGTTAATTTTTTCAAGAGCACCAGCTTACCTTTGTGATTTTATGTGAAACAAAGTTGTACTGAAACCATCTGACGGCCACAGCAGTGTGAAAATGGGAAATGAGTAGTGAGAACTTACACAGTCCTTTGGAAACGAGCATCAGCTTCTTCTGCGTCAGGTGGCGCAGACAAGGCTGCAGCAGATCCTCCATCGTCACTGCGGCCATGGCATTGATGCTCGTGGAAACCGTGCTAAAATGAAACAATAATCCCACATTTAGAGTTCATTAGCTCGTGCGAAGTAGCCATAATGTTTACAGCAAACATTGAGAAGTGTCCAAATGTTCAAACAGTTATACTGACGTGTAAATATGAATTCCACCACCATGGAGCCAACACGTTTAACAGCTCTGTTTCTATTTTTTGTACTAAAACTAAACTTCCAGAATGTTKTCAAATTCAGGTTGCTTTAGATTAGCTTCATATGAAGCTAAAAACATATAGTCTAAAAAAGGGAGAAAAGCAAAAATATCGTGGACGTCACAAATTTCACACGTGACAGGAAACCTCAACCAACTACAAGCTGTAAGAAGTGAAAGATAAAACAACACAAAGCTGCAGAAAACTGAAAGTGAAGAACAAGTTCTTCTGTTTTAGAATAAAGGACGGTGTTTGCATGTGGCTCCACCCCAGGCTCCCTGCAGTCAGACTGTAGTTAAGTTCTGAGGGGGGAAATACCTTAAAGTTCCACTGTACGCACAGGCGAGGAAAAGACCTGGAAAACCTGGGTTATCTCTGAATATATCCAGCACAAAGAATGGCATGTACTTCATCAGACGAGCAGAGAGGGAAGATAAGAAATATTAGGCTTTTGAGTTAGTCAAACATAACCCTGGAAAATGTGCTAACATGTGATGAGCAAAAAAAAAAAAAAAACCCTCGCTCTCATAATCTCAAATTTGCAAAACAATAAAAAATTCAAACATTTCTTTTCAAAAATCAAACTTTATTCTAATTTGAAAAACTATGACCATGTAAAACCACAAATAACAAAGAAAAAAACACAACAGTAAAGAAAAATCTCTAAAAAGAGTTATGAGTCACAGTAAAACTAAGCTCATTGGTCCGTGTCCAGAGTAATCTACATACCAGATCAGGTGCCGAAATCCTCCCAGACTTTAATGGATCACAGGAGCTGTAATATGCAAACATGACGATGCCACAGGTTGCTGCACTGCCAACAATGAGGCACAGACCCACCTGGTTCACGAAAAGAGCCCTGCAATCAAAGACACACCTCGTTTTAGTGAATCAGGTTTATTTGTGGGGAGATMAAACAGATTTGTTGGCTGTGTTTCTGTAAACCAGTTTTAAGACATAAAAAAACGTGTTTTTTATTCTCTGTCATATTACAGTTCGGTGAGTGAGTAACACAACTAATCTTAATTTGTAGATACTTGATGCAAAGGTCTACCAGCTCTCACCACTGGGCCTCTCGCACTGAGCGGCAGGAGATGTAGCGCTGGACTTGTGATTGGTTTACCCCGTACATGGACAACCAAACCAGTGAGCCCCCAACAGTGAGGCTCCAAAAAGTGTATCGCTTCCGTGGGTCGACGTCAAAACTGTAGGAAAAAATTAAAAATACACAACTAAACTTAAATATCACAAATCAACGATAAATATGTGCACGCATGTGTTAAATGTAACAAGATTTAAAAAAATCTAAAATATTTTACTCRTTGAAATTTATCCGGGATCCGTTGTAGGCGATATTTAGTACTTGTGCAGGACCACCAACCAGGATTGTGCCATGGATGTAAATCGCCATGAATCCTGCCAGCATGACAACAATCTGGAACACGTCGGTCCAGACCACGGCCTTAATGCCCCCCTGYACAAAGATGATAAAAARGACACAGAAAGGGAGAAAATCATCACAATTTCTTCAGAAATGGGGATATGTAAAGCATTGCAATGTCAGTTAAGACTTTGACCCATAAATACTATTCATGACTTTGAACAGAAACCAATAATATATTTATAAAATGTTGCACATGAATGCCAAAAAAACAGTCAATATTATAGTAAGTCAATATTCTTACCAGAGTGGTGTACAAGGTGCAAATGATCCCCGTAGAAAACAGAGACATCCACATGTTTAAMCCAGTGGCTGCAAAATCACAAGTGTTTTTGAGTTATTAATCATCTTGAAATTCTAAAAACACTCACTAACCACATTTTAATGAAATTCACAATACTTTATGCAAAGGATTAGCAGTTCTAGCATCCTAGCTTTGGCTGCATGATGGAACAACTGGTAGGCACTAATATCTCTCAGCACGAGAGACATTTATGTTCTTGGGCATGCATGGGTTTTCTTCGGGTACTCYGGTTTTCTGTTAAGTTAGAGCCGGGGTGTCAAACTAATTTTTACCGATGGAAGTATGAGCATTATGATGGTCCTCTAAGGTCCATTTGTAAATAACTTTGATTTTTTTGTTTAACTTTGACTCAACACGTTTCTTTTCTCATTGCTACATCTGAGCACAGCTAACAATAATAACTGAGCTCTACATGGTATTTCCTGCACAGAAACAGCAATTAAACACATCACTTTATAAAAACTGAAAAGTACTACATGTACAACTGACTAAATGTGAAATAAATAATAGAGAAACACTACTAAAAGTAAAAGTTAGACAGTTTTATTCCTTGTTGAGTTGTGGTGAGTAGCTGCCATCTTGAATTCTGAACTCCCCCACTTTCTGACAGGAAATTCCCACGGAAAGGGCATTACAGTTTAAATTCACAACGTGGAAGTGGGAAATTCCCACATTCCAGTACAGCTGAACCCTGAGCACCTACACCTATGCTGGGATGCCATCCTTTCGTGAGTAACATAATCAACAYACATTATGGGAGATGTAGTTTATGGCTGATGCTGGTTTTAAAGGAGAATACACTTATTTCGAAGACTTTAGCACATTTTTGAAGCTCATGTGGGCCACGTAAAATGATGTGGCAGGCCACATTTGGTCCGTGGGCCTTGAGTTTGACACATGTGGGTTAGTGTAATTAGCTACTTTAATTTGTCTCTATGAGAGAACTGAGCAGTTTGGTGTGTTTTTGTGGTCTTATGATTGATTGACAACCCGTCCAGGGTGTGACCCRCCTCATCCTATGACCGTGAAGGAACAGGCATGTAAAAAATAGATGTATGGATGTTCTGAAAACCTTTATCCTAGCTGTTTGAAAATAATAATCAAAAAAAATTGTAATAAGTAACTTGACGCAATAAGTTGGAATGAAATGTGGAGATTAAATCAAAACTAAGGCCAAATAACTGACAAYTCGATTAATCTAAAACCATTTTTTCATCCACTCAAATACCTTGATTTAATATCAGAGCTGGTGCATAGATGACAATCCCCGTGTAAAGCAGCTGAGAAAATAGAAACACAAGCAGTGTTTGAGTTTGAACCCTTCAATTAACTTCCATTAAAAACTTGCAGAAACTTGTCGGTCAGAGCAYTACATTTTTTCAGAGTTGAGCGTCAGAAAATCCAACAGTGATCATACCGTGGCAAGAAGAAACTGGAAGCTTCCCAGCAGCTGCATCCCTCGGCCAAATCTCATCTTCAGATACTGTGACAGGCAGATGGTCAGAGTCATAACATCACTCAGGATCTCTGCAAACATTCCTCATCCTTCTTCACCTCCTATATTTCCCACTTTTGATGGGCCACTAAGGAATTTYTTAATTTTGAGACAAATCTTGGCTTTATTTCTACACTGGAATATTACAATATTAACATTTTCCTGATAACACAACAWATAACTTGTAGGAAACTAAAATGTTCTTCCTATACAAACAGTTAGCTTAAAACAAGAATCAAAACTGCACATGGCTATTTACTTCCATAATGATATTTACAGTCTATCATTTGTTTTTATTAGCCAGTTTTATGACAGTAGATGTCTATTTCTTTTATAAAATAACTTCATCAACATCTGGAGGCTAATTGTGACCTGATTGATGCTGGTGATGCCCAGGTGAAAGAAAACCGGCAGGAAGAGGTAAGCGGTCAGCAGAGAGTTGATGCTTTGGCCGAGGCACATGTAGAGGAACTTTGAGCCGTAGCGAAACCCTTCAGAGGGAACACCGAGAACCTGGACTGCTGACATAAAACTGGCACAGAGCGACAGCCCAACAGGCACAGCTGGCAAGCTTCGACCACCGGTGAAGAAGGCATCTACAGAAGAGTCCTCTGGCCTCTTCTTTAGGGCTTGGAAAATTCCTATTGCCATGGAAATTGACAACATGGCAGCAAAGACRACGTAGTCGACCAGAACAAAATCTGGTCCGAATGAATCACTGGCAGACCGATCCTCCATTTTTTTTTGGCTTTGATGCCCTCTGATAGTTTCTATTGGATCCAGATGTTTAGTGGATCTGTTAGAGTGAGTTAAAATAAACAACATTATTTAAGTGACTTCTTAAGGGAATTCTAGAATTGTGACACATTTACAGAAGCAGTTGTTGGTACATTTCCACAACAATTGATGTGAAAAGCTAAWAAACTCCAGTTTTGTCTTTTCAGTCTCAGAAACCTTGTGATCTATGTTCCTYGTTACCAATGTACAATTGTGTGAAAGGCTAAAAAACTCCCATTTTGTCTCATCAGTCTCAGAAAGCTTGTGACCATAGGGTGTCTGGATGGTTGAACCCCAGGTGCAGAACTGAATGATAATGGCCAAAAAAGTTWGCAAAAGGATTTATTAAACAAAATCAAAAGACTGGCATGGCAGCAAATAAGATAATTGGGCTTGGACATGAACAGGAAACAAAGCTCTGACACAGACTGAGGACACAGGACAGAATATAAAGGAGAACTAATGGGCTAAAACAAGAAACACCTGGGAGAGAAACATGAGGAGCAGGTAAGAGTGGGCGGGGCTGGAGCAAAGACAAGCAGGAGAAGGAAAACAGAAATATAGGACAGAAAACCAGGAGTAACCAAAATAAAACACCCACACAGACATGGACCGTGAAACAGACACCCCATGTTCCTTGAAAACCCCTGTTTCCTGGTACAATGCTTGTACTGGGGAATATAGGTTCTTGGGAAAATAGGCACTGGGGATAACAAGTACTGGAATGTAGGTACAGGAAAAGGTACTGGGGGATTATAGGTACCAGGAAACATAGGTACATAGATAATGGGAAACATTATTAATAGTGAACATTGGTACCGAGGAACATAGGTACTGGTAACATTGGTACCGGGGAACATTGGTACTGGGGAACATAGGTACTGGGGAACATAGGTACTGGGGAACATAGGTACTGGGGAACATAGGTACTGGGGAACATTGGTACTGGAGAACATTGGTACTGGAGTACATTGGTACTGGGGAACATTGATACTGGGGAACATTGATACTGGGGAACATTGGTACTGGGGAACATAGGTACTGGAGAACATAGGTACTGGAGAACATAGGCACCGAGGATATAAAAGAACTGGAACATAGGTACAGGAAAAGGTACTGGGGAACATAGGTACTAGGAAACTGGGAAACATTGGCACCAGGGAACATTAGTACTGGAGAACAAAGGTACTGGGGAACATAGGCACAGGGGATATATATGTACTGGAACATAGGTACAGGAAAAGGTAATGGGGAACATAGGTACTAGGAAACATAGATACTGGGAAACACAGGCACCAGGGAACACAAGTACCAAGGAACATAGGTACTGGGGAACATAGGTACCTGATACCTATGTTCTCTGATACCCATGTTCTCAGGTACCTATGTTCCCCAGTACTAATGTTCCTTGATACCCAAGTACCAAGGAACATTAGTACCAGTGAACATAGGTACTGGAGAACATAGGTACCTGAGAACATAGGTATCAGGGAACAWATGTACTGGGGGACATAAGTACTAGAACACAGGTTTTGGGGAACATCGGTACCAGGTAACATAGGTACCTGGGAACCTATATACCTGGGAGGTACTAGAGAACATGGGTACAAGGGAACATAGATACAGTGTAACAGAGATACTGAGTAATGCAAATACCAGGGAACAAACACTCATGCAGCTACTTTGTTAGGTACACCTTGCTAGTACCAGGTTGGACCCCCTTTTGCTTTGCTTTCAGAGTTGCCTTAGTCCTTCGTGTCATAGATTCAACAAAGTACTGGAAACATTCCTCAGAGAATCTGGTCCATATTGACATGATAGCATCAYGTAGTTGCTACAGATTTGTCAGCTGCACATCCATGATGTGAATCTCCTGTTCCACCACATCCCAAAGCTGCTCTATTGGATTGAGATCTGGTGACTGTGGAGGCCATTCAAGTACAGTGAACTCATTGTYRTGTTCAAGAAACCAGTCTGAGATGATTCACGCTATATGACATGGCACATTATCCTGCTGGAAGTAGCCATCAGAAGATGGGTACGCTGTGATCATAAAGGGATGGACATGGTCAGCAACAATACTCAGGCAGRMTGTGGCGTTGACACGATGCTCAATTGGTACTAATGGGYCCATAGAGTGCCAGGAAAATATCCCACACACCATTGCACCACCACCAACCTGACCWRTTGATACAAGGCAGGATGGATCCATGCTTTCATGTTGTTGAAGCCAAATTCTGACCCTACCACCTGAGTGTTGCAGCAGAAATCGAGACTCATCAGACCAGGCAACGTTTTTCCAATCTTCTATTGTCATAATTCTGCTAGCCTGTGTAAATTGTAGCCTCAGCTTCTTGTTCTTAGCTKACAGGAGTGGTACCTGGTGTGGTCTTCTGCTGCTGTAGCCCATCCACCCCARCGTTCGACTTGTGTGTTCAGAGATGCTCWTCTGCAGACCTCGGTTGTAACAAAGTGGTTATTTGAGTTGCTGATACCATTCTGTCAGCTCGAACCAGTCTGGTCATTCTCCTCTGACCTCTGGCATCAACAAGGCATTTGCACCCACAGAACTGCTGCTCACTGGATATTTTCTCTTTTTCGGATCATTCTCTGTAAACCCTAGAGATGGTTGTGGGAGAAAATCCCAGTAGATCAGCAGTTCCTGAAATACTCAGACCAGCCTGTCTGGCACCAATAATCATGCCATGTTCAAAGTTACTGAAATCATYTTTCTTCCCCATTCYGATAYTCAGTTTGAAYGGCAGCAGATCGTTTTGGCCAAGTCTACATGCCTAAATGCATTGAGTTGCTGCCATGTGATTGGCTGGTTTGACATTTGYRTTAATGARCTGTTGGACAGGTGTACCTAATAAAGTGACAGGTGMGTGTATAAACCGGGTAACATAAGTTCCAGGGAACATAGCTTGTGACTCAACAGCATTTTGACAAAGTGGAGCTTTTTGTGTTTATTTCCTAATAGCTCTGTGTAACTAAGCTTTGACCAACAAACAATCAAAGCATTCTTTAAATATATTAACCAATATCCTTCAGTTTTAAAACCAACAACCATTTGATGACTTTCTTGGTCTAAACTCACTGCTGTATCTTTGACAGACAAATACACCAGACTAGAATTATGCTCAATGTTTTTTGGAAAAATGTTTCAAAGAAAATCTGACATTACTATTGTTCTCCCTTTACAGTTTTTTTATTAACTGAATAATCTCATAGAAATATACTGTAAAATATCTTTTTTTCTTYCACCAACACAGAAAAAATTGCCTTGAAAAAGTTTGTCCTTCAATATAGATAAAAAGCTATTTATTTATCACTTCATTTCTGGGGCAAGAATCTGTAAAGCTGCTGAATAATCAAGGAGGCAGATTTTACAATCAACATATCATATCTTTTGTAGATTTTWTTATTCTATGTATGAAATTTACATGTACTGTGAACAAATTATGCAAAAAAAWTTAAATTTTAAATGAAAGATTTAAACAACTCACCACCGCTTCCACATCCAGCTCAGTCTGGTCAGTTAAGTAGGAATGTGCTGACAGCCCACTCCACTCTTCAGCAGCTGCTTCACATCCATACACCTTCTCTGAAACACACACACTTTTGTGTCTGCGTGTGTGTGTGTGTGTGTGTGTGTGTGTGTGTGTGTGTGTGTGTGTGTGTTGCCTTAGCACATCATAAAGGAGTTCCTCACAGTTAAGCATGCAGCAGGTGTGTAAGAAGAGGGGTCAGTTAAGGATTACAACCAGTGAAAAAGGGCTTGAGTAAAAAACAATTACAATAAAACCTAAAAATGAATAATCCATGTTTATTTAACATGTAGAAACATGATCTGCAGGCATGGCACAGTCATTTTCTGACACGTGACACATGTTACTGAACTGTAACCAACTGTGTGTTATGAATGGAGATGTGAACAATAGATGCACTCAGAGCAAAGGAGAATCACTTCTCAACAAGAATATAAAACAGTCTTATATGGGGTTAAAAAGATAAAAGTTGATTCTACTGTAAACAGTTCTACATGCATGGTAACCTAATGACTGAAATAACTCAGCCCATTAAYCAGCTGTAAATTGCCTTGTTTTACATCTAAGAATGACTTCATGAAATTATACAACACAGGAAATAAAGACTATAAGCTCAGTTGTTCCCTTCTTTATAACATTCAGATTATATCAGTCATATGATTTCTTTGAGAGTTTCACTAAAACACATTTAATGCTGTCACAAACAGGACAACAAAATCAGTCAGATGAGAAACTATTCAACTTTTTTAATTGATAAAATATGTGTTTTGCTTTCTGAATGTGAGTATGGCATTAAAACGTCTGCTTCTGGATTTTCAATTTGTTCTCTCAGGTTTGTTGGCTGTGACCACCGTGTACTGAACTGTTCCGTTAAGCTGTTTAAGCATTATGGGGTCATTAGACYTGTAGAGCTTTTTCTCTTGCAGGATTAGACTTTTTAATCTGAAGCATTAGTACAAACACAAACTCTTTTTTTATATTATTATGTGACACCAAACAGTACTACAGTCTTGTTTTACTACMATGTCATTTTTTAACAAGGAATATTCATGGAAGTTCGTTTGATCAAACTTTAAAAACATCTCACTTCCAACAACAGGAAGGTCCACCCACATATTAAGTCTAATGGTAGAGTTAAGGTTACCACCCAACATTACATACTGAAAATTTAGAGTATAAGATTAACCAAGGAACTACAGTATGATGAAGGATAGCAAACAAAAATTCAATTCAAGTGTGTTTTAATCATAAAGTTAGCTTCACTGATGTTGGCTGATMGTGTCAGAAAAAGCCAGTTTCAGATGTTATCAGTAAGCAAATCTGTAAGAAAATTGAGTGATTTCAAAAGAAGATCTCTAAAGTCTAGTAAAATTGACTGCGTTGGCTCAAATGTTTGCTTGTAATCTCTGGCTGTAAAACTTGTACTATCTTTTGATTTTAAAATAGACCTTGAAACAACTACCATTAACTGAGATCTACAACACCATGTGTGACTGTTACATAAAGTGGAACAAAATCAAACTAAGAAAAAAAAACAATAAAGTAGATATATATAGTTATTCTTAAAAGACAATAAAAATTTGAAAACTGTGGGATTAAGTAAGGACATATAAAGTAGCAAATTCATACAAAACATACTATATATGTGCTTCTGTTTTTTTCTACCTGAAAATTTTATAGGTACCTTAGAGTAATTTTAAACATTTTGTCATGGTTAACAGTTTGATTGTAAAGGCAGGTAAAAAGTTGAAGGTATTTATTTCTGTAGGCAAAGACTAGACCAGGGCCGGCCACCGCTAATATGGCGCTCAATGAAAAACTTCATGTAGTATTCCTTGTGCAGTTTTCTAAATCTCACTGCCAGTTTATATACAGTCACATGCTAAAATAAATAGTTTTGCCTTTGATATTATTTTTATCTTTAGAAACCAAGTTGAAATAGTTAACAAAATAGTTAATTTGAAACAGAATATCAGACGTTTACCTCTGACATTCTACCTTCCAACATCTGCTGACAGCGATGAGAAACACCTGTTCATGTTAACAAGCAGCTGTGGACTGAAGCAGTTCTAGGGAGGTCCAGGAATTATCATTATTATTGTTTTGTAAAATTTCTACTCAAACCCATATATTTTCCAACCAAATGAAAAACATTTTACTAAATTCTTGGAATTAATAAAACATAAAATCATTATTCCATGAAAGTGAATGAAAACCAGACTTTAACCTGAAATACATCGGGTAAAATAAGTATTGAACACGTCACCATTTTTCTCAGTAAATATATTA